GAGACCCAGCGGGGCAGCCGAGCCAAGCAAGCCCCTCACCCCCGTCTGAAAAGGCAGTGAAGAGGAGGTGGAAGAGAAAAAGGCAGAGCTATGCCCCAGGCAGGACAGGCTTCAGAAAATAGAAAGCACAGGGGTGACTCCCAAGGGAGCGAGTTCAAGGCTGGGAAAGGCAAGAAAATAAACAAAAGGGCTTACGGAGTTTCAATTTTATGAATTTTTCTTGTCTGCAGGAAACTGGCTGTCATGGCAGGAACAGGCTCGTTTTGTCCCGTCACTCACGGGACAGCGAGGAAACCACAGGCAGAAAGGCCGAGGGCAGTTTAGCTGCCCTGCGGGCAGGGGGGTCTTGGGGCGCACGGCCCCGACCCACGGCCCCTCCGTCCCCATCCCTGGCCGGCAGCGCCAGAGCTGGCTCTGGGAGGGCAGTGCTGGCAGCCCTGCCTTCACACCGGGAGCCTGGCCGGGGCTGCCTAGACCTCCCAGCTGCTGCCTGTGTTTTGCTTGCTCAAGCCTGGCGTCCAGAATTAAACCATAAATAATGCACTGATCACCAGCTGATTCGCTGGGAGATTAGATAGGATGAGCTCCCCTTCTTAAAGTTAGGCAGCTCTGACATTAGCAAGAGCTTAAGCCTAGGCAGGATTTTAAGCCCCAGGGGCACGTGGGCAGAGTTGCCTCTTTATGCAACCGCAGGGATGCTGGGGAGAAAGAAGAAATTGATATGGGGGGGAGGAGAAGATCCTCTTCCCCATGGGAAAACAAGGGATTAGTCTGAAACACAGGATCTTTGATGCCCTCAGGTGCTGCAGGAGGTGAAGCTCGGGCATCCTCGCCTGCAGGGTTTCTTGGGCAGCAGCAAGAGAAGGTGCGAAGGGAGCAGGAGCTGAGTGGTGCCATGGGCTCAGCCCTCTCCAGAGCCCGGGAATTAGGGACAAGGCGATGAAGGGTGGAGGAGAGAAGAGCTGAACTCCTCCTCTGCATCTCCCAAGCCCCAGAGAGGGGACTCGGACCCCTCCTGGCTTGGCTAAGCTCTCCTGCGCTGCTACCCGGCCCCTCCACCCATGACCTCTGGCTCAGCCATGCTGAAATCCTTTTGGCCACATCGTTCCCCTTTCAGCCCCAAACCACCCTCCTTCCAGCCACAGTCCAGCACTAATGTCCCTGCCCCCAAGTGTTTTACAAAAACAGCAGAATCCGTGCACCAAAGCACTGGAAGGGCCCAGGCAGCAGAGCAGGCAACACTCACCTGGCAGGTGGACGGACGGACAGACAGACGCTCTCCTCTTCCTCTCCCAGCACGTCCCACTGCCACCGAGTCGCTACGGGCTGCTCCGCCCCCTCCTGGCTTGGCTAAGCTCTCCTGCGCTGCTACCCGGCCCCTCCACCCATGACCTCTGGCTCAGCCATGCTGAAATCCTTTTGGCCACATCGTTCCCCTTTCAGCCCCAAACCACCCTCCTTCCAGCCACAGTCCAGCACTAATGTCCCTGCCCCCAAGTGTTTTACAAAAACAGCAGAATCCGTGCACCAAAAATGGCCAATGGCCCAGGCAGCAGAGCAGGCAACACTCACCTGGCAGGATGGACAGACAGACGCTCTCCTCTTCCTCTCCCAGCACGTCCCACTGCCACCGGTCGCTACGGGGCTGCTCCCGGTCCTGCGGCTTCTTATACCTCCCCGGCGGTCCCCCCCCTGGCATCTGATCTCGCCCACTCGGCTTTGGCTGGGGATGCGGGGGGGGGGGTGTGTGGGGGGAC